TCTCGGTGGCAAACCACTTCTTACACGTTTTAGCTTTTTCTCCTGCTAGTACATCCATATTTAAGTAACATGCTCATATCCCTCCTTCTTGATTGATCGATAGAGAACATCTTCTGTAGAACTCCTTACCTTGATGTCAGAGGAGTTAGTTTATTTATGACCATTTCCACTAAGTCTTCCTCTTTCCTCTCAGTGTAGTTATAACCCTGTTTTGGTTCCTCTATTGGTTACTGTTGGACTTTTAAAGACATATTTATTTCTCACTCGTTCTATTGATTATAGAAGTGTCTTATAACTGCTATTCTGTAATATGATGATGCCGGCATCTCTTCTCTTCACCTCTTCTCCTTCTACCACCTCCTAACTTGTCATCTACTCCTGCGACATCCAATAGGGTAGCCACTAGCACATGTGGCTATTTCAATTTATATGTAACTTAAAGTTAAATAAAAGGAAAACTTCAGCTCCTCGGTTGCACCAGTCATTTGAAGTACTCGCTCGCTACATGTGACGTGCAGCTACCATATTGGACAAGGCGAATATAGAACATTTTCGTCTTCACAGAAAGTTCTGTTGGATTGTGTTCTATACGTAATATTATTAAGGTGGTAACATTTGTGTTTGTTCTATAATTACAATTGTTTTCTGTGCTTTGCCTTTAGGTTGATTCTAACATCGAAAAAAATCAAAGAATAGTATTTATGTTATTAGACAATATGTGAGTGTATGTTGATTCAAGCAGAACTGTGTTCTATAACATTTCTCTTCTTGGAAAATTTTTTTTTTTTCCCTAGAACTTTCTATTGCCTTTCTTTGTTCCTTGCATGATTTGCCTTTAACATAACCTAATTATCCCCTTCACTCCAATTTTCCTCATATCAGGTGTTTTACTGATTCTCTTTCTTCCCGGAGACCTTCCTCCTGGGCCCTCAGTACTTCTCCTACTACCTGGATGAACTGCTTCCGGGCCTTGCTGTCCACATGCCATCTTGGGAATTCCCATTTCTTCTCTCCTGGGCTGGAGCTGCTGTTTCCTGAATGCCACATCTCCTTTCTTGGCTTACTTCCTTGTTTCTCTGGGACACATCCTTAATTAACTTCTTAAGAAAGTCTATGTGGGAGATGAATTTTCTGTGACCGGTTTGTCTGAAAAATGTCTTTCCTCCATGACTTTCCCAACTTGCTTCATAGTTTGGCCGGACATAGAATTCTAGGGCAAAACTCAGCTTTTCTCAGAACCTGAAAGTAATACACCATTGATTCTTAACATTTGTTGGGTTCTACTTCTTTTACAAGTGACCTGTCTTTTAGGATACTTTATCTTTGTTTTACTGAAATTTCACAATGATGTATCCAGATGGGTTTTTTTCCCCCTTCTTTCATTTATTATGCTGGTCATTCAATGAAATCTTTAAGTCTGAAGATCTGGGTCCATCAGAACTCATATTTTTATCTGATAATCTTCTCCATTTTATTCTCTCCTTTTTTGGAATTCCTGTCAGTTGGAGAAGACATTGGGAATCTTGGATTGATTCTTTATGTCTCTAATTATGTCTTCCATCTCTTTGTGCTTTTTATTCTGCTTTCTAAGAGACTACTATCTCATCATTGTTTTCCAATCCTAGTGACTGAAAAATTTTTTCGGTGATATTTTTAATTTCCAAAGTTTATCTTTTAACAACATCTTATTTCATGGGAGATGGATTTTTGTTGTTGTTGTTGTTTACCTTTGTCTTTTCTCTTCATGTTCTAGACTCTCCTCAGATGTGTGGGGATCCTTGGTTGCCATTTCATGTTTAGGAAAGAGGCAATTGAAAGCTGCTGGAGCTGCAAGTAATGGATGGGGTGGTCGACTTGTGGCTTCCTTTTGGGAGGGATTGGGCAGGGAGCTATCTGCCATGCCAGACTCTCAAATGCTAGAGCACATTGCTCTTTTATTCAGGGCACCTAACTTTCTCTAGATAAGCACCTTTTAATGATTTACCTGAGAGATAAGTCCCTCACCATTGGATGTTCTACAGTTGGGGAGACATGTAGAAAGCAGGGGGTGTACAGTGCTCTTTCTACTGACATTATCAGATAATTTTCGTGATTTCTGCCCCTCATTTCATTTTTGCCATCTGCATTCCTGGCGTCTCTGAGCCCTGAAGTTCTAACTTAGGCTAAATCCAGTATTCACTTCTCCATTCATTTTCTGGCTTCTGGAAATTAGCTGAAATCTCTCATATGTTGTTGGTTCCTTTACCTTTCTCTCTGTTGTAAGTTTTATTCTTTTAAAATCATTTTGGCGAGATCTCAGGATGGAGAATAGATGATATGTGGTCAGTCTACCTCTTGATTCAGAAGCTTCCTCCCGCCTATCTTGTACATTTTGCTTAGGGCCATATCTTCCAAAATATTTTTGCAAAAAACATTATATTACATAGTTTGGGACCTTGGGATGAATTTCTTTAGGTCTAGGAAAAACATTTGTCTCTCCTCATGAACTGGTATATTTCCTTTAAATGAATAGTAAAATTTAGGCAACTTTCTGTGTTTCCCTTTTTGATCCTGCTATCAAAATGCTCAGAGGTAACCTTAATCCTAATACTTTGGGAGTATATACATTTTGTCTTCCATGAAATCTTCTATTTTTCTTTAACAAATGTATATGTCTTTTATTGTTAGCTATATTAAATTCTTTTGTGAGATATATAGCTAATTTTTTATATCTCTTTCTTCCAGTTGACAGTTTCTTGGAGGAGATCACTCCTTAAATTTTTTGTTCTTTTTTTGTTCTCTCCCTTTACTCATCTTTAATATCACTTGGATTTTGTGCAAGAGGGTTTAGTCTTAGATGATCTCACAGCAACCTTCCAATTCTAATGGAAATTGAGTCCAATGGTGTCTTATTTCCTTAACTGGGTAAAGGATAACATATATGTGTGAATTATCTCCCCACTAGACTGAAGAGCAGAAACCAGGCTTTCTACATCTCCACTCCTCAGTGAGCTTAGTGGTCTGAAATTGATGCTGGTGAGCTTAGCCTCTGGAACCTAGGACGCTGACTCAGGATGGGCCCAGAGACCCCGTGGTCTGAGGAAGTCCAGTAGGCAGGCAGGTGTAGGACATGTGATTACCTCTTGGTTAACCTCCCCCTTCTTCTCCCAATTTCTTCTCAACCTATGGGCTCCTTTCTCTTCTCCTAACTTAGTGGGTATGTGTGTATGGGAGGTGGGTGGGTAGGGTCATGCCTTAGAGTCAGAAGACTCTATGAAATTTATATGCTGTGTGTCCTTGGTGGCCGACTCAACCTCTCTGACCCTCAGTTTTCTCATTTGTAAAATGGGGATAACAGCAGGGAGTGGCTGGCTAAAATGAAATAAGTTAGTATATGTAAAAGGTCCAAACCTCTACTTAATAGTTGTTAGTGGAGCAGAATTTTCATTCCCCGGCCATCCCCCTGCCCCGCTGTCTCCTCACTTACCGAATCAGTTCCAGCACCCGGCTCTTCATGGCACGGACCAGGTCCCGCTGCTCTCCAAGCTCCTCGTCATACATGGCCTCCCTCCTTTCAGCCTCCTGTTGCTTCTTCTCCAGCTCTGCCTGCAGCCGGCCCCTCTCTTCCTGACACCTGGTCACAGAAGGAAGATGAAGTTCTGAGGGGAAAAAGCTCAGCATTTGACTGAGCTAGGCTGTTTCTGCCTGACAGGGGGGAAGCGGATGGTGCCCCCTGCAGCTGAAGGCCACACACACACACACACACCACATACACACACAAAACATACCACGCACACCACACTACACATACACATACACACACAAATGCCATACAACAAATATGCTCACAACAGAGCGCATACACCACACATATTCACAGCACATCACGCACACCACATGCCACACACACTCACAACACACCACACATATACATGCCACACACGCCACAAATACTACGCATACTCACAACACCACACATGTACCAGACACACGCTATACACAAGATAACACACACCACATGCTACATACCACACAACATATATACCATATACCACACATACATCATACACCACACACACTCATAACACACCACACACACTCCACACCATATATACTTACAGAACACTCCACACTCTCCACACACAACACCACACACAAAACAGCACCATGTGGACTGACACAGCCAGAGAAGGGCACATGCAAAGGTCTGCAAGTCTCCTCACTAACTATTCAGAGAAATAAAAACAGGGCCTATTCTTGAGGAGGCAAACCAACATTTCCATGTATTTTCTTTCTTTTTCTTTTAAAAATATTTCCATTTTAAAATGTAAATTTCTTGAAAGGTGTGTTTACAATCATGGCAGCTCTTTGGGGGAAGGTGGGTATCTGGGAACCCGGGCTGAACGGGCTGTGCCTGGATGAAGACAATTGTGGTGCTTGGGGAAGTGGAGATTAAGAGGTGTAGGAGAGGGGGTGATTTTTTTGGCTTCAAAATATTTTGAAAAATTTTGTTACATTGTCTTTTCAATTAAGAAAGGCAATATTAAGCCTATGTCTTTCTTACAATTGCTGTTCCAGTTTTGGGCTTGGAGCCTCCTCAGATTTATTCTTACTTCTTTTCGTCTTTTGTGGCTTCCTAGAAGGTTCCAAGAAATATGCTGAACTAGAAATAAAAAGGTTCCAGCCTTTTACTCCATCGCTCAGACAGAAGGGTGTTGTAGTGGCGGTGCTTGTCCTGTGACCTCTGGATGCGTGTGCATGTGTGTGCAAGGTCACTGGACTTAAGTGTGTTTGCGGGGGAAGAAGGAGTTTGTGAGAGGCTTGATGATTAATTGAATTATTAATTTTTAAAACATTTCCATGTAGTGTGCTGTAGGGAAGAAAACTGGGTGGGCCATGACAGCAAACTGACAACAGGCAGCCACTGTAATTCCAAAAAGGCCTTAAGAAAGAATGTTTTTGTGCTCAGGCATTGGATCAGGGCCACGTTTTGACTTTTATTGAACATTCTGGTCTTTAGCCTCCTCATTTCTTAGCTGCTGATTTCATTTTCCTGACCTAGTTTACTTGCCCAGTGATCCCAGGGCCTCTGACGTGGTCATTGCAGGCCTTGATGTGACCAGTGTGGTTAGTGTGTCTTTGTGGTGGGAGGGAACCCCTTATTAAGCACCTACTGTGTGCCAGGAATAGAGTAGTGCGTATGGCTCCTGGTGGAGTTTATAGCGTGTTTGGGGCAGTGGTCAAAATGAGTAATAGACCAATAAAATAATTAAGCTAAGTGTATGACAGAGATAAATGAGGGGCCAAGACAGAGACTTGAGAGAGTGCTCAGAGAAGGCTTCTTAGACAAGGTGACATTGAAGCAAATCTAAAAGATGAGAAGTCAACCTTGTACACAGCCAGAGAAGGGCACATGCAAAGGTCTGCAAGTTGAAAAGAATTTGGCTTACTTGAAGAACTGAAAGAAGGCTTTCGAAGCTGGACTACCATGCATGGCAGGGGTCGGGGAGGCAGGAGATGAGGTGGGAGACAGGCAGGGCCTGAACTGTCCCTCAGCGGCCCCAGAAACAGTAGACTTTAATCTCAGTGCAATGGGAAGCCACTCAGGTCTTTTAAGCAGAGGGTGACGGACACTTCTAGTGCAGGAGGGGACAGAGAAGGAATTAAAGTTTATTGAGTACCTACTATGTGACAGGCATTGAGCTTAGTGCTTTAATAGCCTTGTTTCGTTTAATTTTTGCAAATTTACGGGACAGGTAATATGATAATCGTTTTATAGGAAAGAAAAATGGAGCTTCAGGGAGAGAGTAATACTTGCCAAGGGTTACACAGCTTGATAAGTGCATGGAGCAGAGATCTGGATGTAGACCTGTTCAGCTCTAATTTCTTTTTGTCTCCCCACACTCCCATCAATGCCAGGCCCTGATCACCAGTGGTTTGTGGCACCAGTGTTGAGTGGGCAGCAGCAGGGAGCAAGCCACGGATCCCCATGAGCCCCTGACATGCCTCAGAGGAGCTCAATGCTACCACCCAAGAAGAAGGGGGATGTGACATTTGCCTAATTTCCCAACTGACAACTTCTTCCATTCGTACCTGTCCTAATCACTTTTGTGTTGAGGTATTACCCAGAAGGCAAGGAAACCCCCCTGCTTGGAAAGAAGTTCTCACAGAGCATCTGAGCTGGAAGGAGGAACTTTAGAGATCCAGCCATCTCCTTTTGCAAATCGAGGTCCATAGCTCAGAGACGGAGGGCTGATTTCCCAGGGCCCCACAGTCAGAAAGCTGGTAAGTTGGTGTTGGCAGTCCCATATCTCAGATCCAAGTGTATTCTTCTAGCCCAGGCTGGTCTGCTCTGGGCCTTGCTGCCTGGATGGTCTGCTGTGTTCTCCATGTGCATTTAGCATGGGGCTCTGCAGCCCTGCCCTCTCTCAGTCTGTTCTTCACAGCACAGTAAGAGTGATCCTTTAAAAACCCCAGTCAGACCATGAGAGCTTCTGCTCAAGACTGCTCTAGCCACCAACAGCATGGGGGTATCCCTCTGCTCCAGCCACATGGCAGGCTTATCCCCCAGAACACTTTTCCTGGGTCTTTGCATTTGCTGTTCCCCTGCCCTGACCACTCCTCTGACATGTCTGCCTGGTCCATTTTACCTGTGGTTGGGGTTTCTGCTCAGATGTCACCTCCTCAGAGAGGGATTCCCTGACTCTAAATCTAGAAGACTCTCCTGTCTCTCTCCCCTTTCCTGGATTGATTTTTCTACCTGACATTGTATTTCTACTTGTTAATCTATCGTCTGTCTTCCCAGGTTTGTGAGAGCAGACATTGCCTGTTCTGGTCAGGTGTTTGTCCTAAGTTCCCTGAGGCTGGGAGCATGTTCTCCCAGATTCAGGAGCTTCTGCTACTCACCATTCACATTTGAATGACTCCCCAGTAGACCCCCAGCCCATGCCTCTCTCCTGAACTCCACACTCAACTGCCTGTCCAGTGGCTTGACTAGGGTGTCTAACGAGTGTCTCAAACTTAACATGCTCAAAACTCAACTCCTGAACTTTCCTCACAAACTGGCTTTGCCACAGTGGAGACTCACTGGTAACTAGCTTTCTAGGCCAGAAAAGTCAGAGTCATTCTTGACTTCTGCCTTTCTCTCAGACGCTATATCCAGTCCCTCAGGAAGCTGGACCTCACAGCCGGACCTCAGAGTCCAGTAGCTTCTCTGCACCTCCATTGCCACCAGTGCAGCCCGAGGCACCATCACCCTCCTCTGCATGGCAGGGTAGCTTCCTCATCGGTCTCCCTGCTTCCACCCTGGCTTCTCCACAGACTAGCTTCACAGAGCAGTGGGCGTGAGCCCTGGAAAACACAGGTCAGTCCAGAATAGGCACATCTACAATAGAGACAGAAAGCAGATTGCTGGTTGCCTAAGCTGGGGCGGTTGTGGGGAAATGGGCAGTGAGTGCTAACGGGTATAGGGTTTTCCTCTGGGTTGATGAAATGTTCAAAAATTGATTGTGATAATCAACGCACAACTTTGTGAATATACTAAAAACCATCGAATTATTTTAAAAGGCAAATGAACATATCTCTTAACATTCAAACAGTCATGTCATTTCCCTTCTCTGCTCAGAACTCTCAATGGTTCTTTTCTCAGTCTGAGTTAAAGTCAACATCCTTTTGATGACCTACTAGGGTCTCCCGAACCTGGTCCCTGTTACCTGCCTGACCTTTCTCTACATCCTGTCTTTCCATCCCTCCACTGGGGACATGATGGCTTCCCCGATGTTCCTGGAACCTGCCATGCCCATGCCCACCTCAGGGCCTTTGCTCTTGCTGTTCCCTGTGCCTGGAACATTATTCTACCACACTACCGCAAATCCAAATGGCTCACTCCTCATTTCCTTCAGGTCTTTACTCAAACACCACCTTTTCAGGGAGGTCTTCCATGACCGTGCCACCTTATATAACATCACCCCCCGATACTTCCCATTCCCTTTCCCTGTTTTATTTTTTTCTCCTTAGAACTTATCACAATCTGACATTCTATGTATTTTACTTGCTTATCATATTATTGACTGCCTCCCCCACTAGAATGTAAGCTCCACGAAGGTGAGAATTTTGTCTGTTGTGCCCACGAGAGGAATTCTGGCACACAGAGCAGGCCTGGCACTTTGAGTATTTGTGGAATGACTGAATAATGGACAGGATGACAGGTGGTAGGACTGTGATCTGTGAGACAGGGCTTCCTAGCTGCAGGGAGCAGCCTGGGGCTGGGCAGGCTTCCGGGAGGCTCACAGCTGCTCCCTCCAACCTGTCTCGATCCCTAGAGAAAGCCCCAGCCCAGCGTAGGCAAGGCCCCTGCATTCACTTAGGGCCTGACTCATGGGACTCTTTGCTGTCCAAATCACTGGGCTCAGCTGAGTGTCTGGTGGGAGAAACCTCTTCCTGGGGCTCTTTTGGATTGGTTTCTGGGCCTCTGGCCTCTCTCAGCCTATTAGGCAGACAGTCAGTAGAATGCCTAATGATTCAGTCTGAATCACAGTTACTCAGGCTCTGCTGACAGTCAGGCTAGTGGCCTCCAGGCCCTGAGGCAGGAGTCAGCCATGTAAGAAAGACGGAGGCAAGTGGGGAGACTGAGGCACTCAGAGACCAAGGGACAGAGACATAGAGAGACTGAGTCTAAACTGAGGAAGATCTTGGCATGGCGGAGACATTTAAAAAATAAATTATGAACGAGAAACTGAGGCACGGAGAAAATGTAAACAAAACGGCATGCTCTTGAGGTTAATGTGATGATGGGCAGATGAATATACTGATGGGGAGAGACAAAGAGACGGAAATACAGGCGCTCGAAATACTGGCGGAGGGGTGGCGTTTAGGCCCACTGATTCTGGAGTCAGCTGCCAGGGTTTGGACCTCGGCTCTTGTACTGAGATGTTGGGTGAATTGTGGAGCATCTTTGAGCCTTAGTTTCCTCATTTATAAAATGGGGGTTCTTAGAGAACCTATCTCATAAGGCTATTATGAAGAAGCACCTAGGACAGCGCCAGGGACATAGTATATACCCAGGAAGTGAGAGTTATGATTACAATTATGATCATTAAGAGGATGAAAGAGGGATTATGCAACCAGGAACAGGAAAATGAGAGACTGAATGATAAGGGTGCAGGAGTGCGCTGGGGCAGGCGGGCAGAGTGGATTGCAAAGAGAGAGGAGCAGATCAGAAGGGGTAGCAGAAAGGGCAGAGATGAATACGGGTGGGAATGGAGGGACAGGAGGTATAGGTCTCTCTTGGGGTCTACTCAGGGAGGTCAGTGAAGGAGGGGGCTGGAGGGGAAGGAGGGGAGGGGAAGGTGGGAGCCCTTGAAAGCAGGGACAAAGGCCTGCAGGCCTCATCATCCCAAAGTTGTGCCCTGCACAGGGCCTGGTGCACAGGAGGTGCTTAAGAGACACTTGCTGTGTGACTGTGAACGCGAGCAGGAGCTAGGAAGCACCTCCTGTCCCTCCAGCCTACCTGCTCTCATGCTCTTGTGTGCAGGTGGTTGCCGGCGTTACCTGCTGAGCTGCTCCTGCAGTGCCTTCAGCTCCCCCTCCTGCTCCTTCAGCAGCTGCTCCTGGTGCTGGGCCTGCTCTTTGGTCGTCTGGAGCTGGTGTCTGAGACTCTGGGGGGAAAGAGAAAAGAAGGAAGGGAAAGGGAAGCTGGAGAAGGAGGACAGAGACCCCAGCCCAGGGACTGACCTGACAAACATCCCCATGAGACCTCAGGCCGTGCGAGACAGCTATAAGGTGCGGGGAGGGACTAAGGACAGCTCTGGGACGTGTAATGCCTGGCTCTGCCGCTGGGTGAGCCTGGATCCTTAGTGTAATGCCTGGCTCTGCCGCTGGGTGAGCCTGGAGCCGCTATTTCTTCCTTCATGGAAGGATGGAAGTTACAAAGCTCAAGGATATAAAGACTCTGGTTAGGGAGGAGGCTGAAGAAGTCCTAAGAGCAATCCTGGGTAATCTCCAGGAGAAGCATCTGCAGCAGTAGAACTTAGATATTGGGGAGAAACCTGCCGATAATGAGGGCTGTGGAATCTGAGAACAAGTGACTTCCCTGAAGAACTGTCGGGAAGGGATCTCAAACTCAAATGCCTACATGGGATAGGCAGGCGGTATTGATGAATAAAGTGGGCCTATTGTGAGACAACAGAGAGAGGTGGAGACTGTGACAAACTGAAGAATGTATGGCATTCAAAAGGCTTCTTCAAATAATAATAACCTTGTGTGGGCCAATAAAAGTGGATCTGTGGCTGGAGTGGCCTCCGGATTACCACTGAAGACCCCTGTCTGTGGGTCAGTTTAGAGAGGAGAGAATAGGCACAGAGCTCAGCTGCTCTCACCTTGACCACATCTTGCAAGGCCACCTCTGCTCGCTCCTCTGTCCTCGTCACACTGGTCACTCCTGTTTGCTCTTGTGGCTTCTCTGTGGTGGAACCTTCCCTTGTTCCCAGGCTCTGGAGGACCCGGGGTTCCCTCAGAATACTAGGCACCTCCCACCTCTGCTCGCTCCCTGACATTGAATCCTCTATCACCCCTCTGGGGCCGGAAACCAGCAGCCTCTGGACGTGACCCCACTCTGCGCCCCCTTCATGAGTCCCCACTGTTGTGCTCTGACCTTCTGCACTCAGCAGAACGCCTCTGCCCTCACTCTCTGTCCTTATCACCTCCTTCAGCACCCCCTCAGCCCCCTCTCGCTGCCCCTGGGCATAGGGTGTTGAGTTCTCTAGGCAGGTCCCCATCCTTGGGGCTCCCATCTCCTGGTCTTGCTGCAGCAACTCCCCCTCTGGTTCCCACATGCTCTGGGGGGCTCTGAGGCTCCTGGGATCTTCTCTCTTCTTTTCCAAAAAAGGAGAAAGATGCTTGTGTTGCTGAGGCCTGGGGAGTCCAGCCAACCGGTCTGCCCCTGGTGCATCTCGTGGACAGCTGGCTTGGCTGGTGTGTGGCTCTTCTGGCTGGATTCCTTTGGAGTCTCCATGTAGAGCGGAGATCTGCAGAGAGGTCCCCAAACCCCATTATATTCCCTCTCAGTATCAATTCACTGACCTGGTTCATGGGAGAGGCCAGATCCCTAATGCAATGGGCTTGTTAAATATGTGGATTCCTGGGCCCTCCCACTGACATGGGAGGAGGGCCCAGAAATCTGAATGTTAAAACCCCAGGTGGTCTGATCCGAGGCCCCAGCTTTGATCTGGTCAGAGAGCAGCAGTGCTTCTCAATGCCCTTTCCTCCCTCAGTCCGAGCTCACATCCTTCTCCCTTCTCCACATCGATCTTCTGCATGGATCTGGTTTCCACGCAGAGCACAAAAGTTAAGTTTAGGGAACAGGATCTGACTTTTTGGTGTCTTCTCATCTGCAAAATGGGAATAATAATACCTGCCTTGCAGGATTGTGGCGAAAGGTTAGATGGACCGATAGCCAGCTAAGAGTCACCTCTGCCAAGAAGCCTTTTCTGGGCCCCACATTGTCCTGTGCATGTCTGCATCACTACACTTCACATGTCATGTTGCAAGGTGTTCCTTTAGGGTCTGTCTCCCTGAACAGATCTGGACTTTCAGGTCACAGACCGAGTCTTCGTAGTATCTGCACCTTGTGCCCCGAAGCTGGTGGGGGTACAAAGTAAGCTCCTGGAATAATGCTAACTGCAAGCTACCACTTACAGAGCACATGGCGGGAGCCTGCTCTGTGCTACACATGTGTCGATGCATCCTCACAATCTCCCAGTGAAGCATGACAAGTAGCTTGCCTGAGGACCATGGTTAGTAAGGGCCGGAGCTGAGATTTGAACCAGGCGACCTTGCTCTTCAATCATTCCCTGAACTGAACTGAGACATTTGCAAATTGTCCAGCAGAGGTTGTTTCCCTGGTCTGTTTCCTACAAGCTTTTGGTCACCCTCCCCAGCACCTCCTCTTCTTCTGGGCCCCACTGGCTCCTATAGATGGTGTCAGTGGTCCCTTTTTCTTCCCAATATCCCCACCATCCTAGGAATATGAGCCTTTACTTCGGTGGATCCCCAGTCCCCAGGTCCACATGTTGGCCTCTCTATCTAGTTGGGTTAGGATTCAGTTACTGCTCAACCTCGGGGGCCCAGCAGAGATAGAGAAGAGACTACACAGAGTGAAGGTCAGGCAGAAGCACCTCCTTTGGGGAATCTTTGGACTTTCTGGGTCTTCTTCCCCGGGTCCAGCTGGAATTGGAGCAGCGAGACCTGAAAGTAAAAGAGGCCAGGGGACCTTGGGCCACTCCCCCGCAGTGGCCTGGTCCTCCGATGCAGGATATCCCATCTTTCCACTTATCCCACCACACTCTCCTGCCTTCATGCATGCATCCCCCCTCCATCCATCCATACATCTCACCTTCCATTCATCTATCCGTTCCATCCCAGCATCCCACCATTCATTCGTCCTTCAAACCCTCAACCTCAGACACCCAACAACTTTTTCGTGAGTGTGTATCCTATGCAGCATTGTGGGACGTCATGAGATTATACTGGGAAAACAGAAGGCTAGGAAAATAGAGAATCCGGGGCTCACAGAGCAAGGAAGGAGAGAGACAGAGATGGGGCTGGAAGCTGAGAGCTCGGGGCTAGCTCAGGATGTTTGATGGGACGGGTGGCATTGGCAGTAGGCGCTTAAAGAGGCTTCCCTTCATGCTGCACCCACTTACTCTGAGAACATGGGCCAGGCCCCATCCAGGTCTGGTCTCTGCAGGTCCAAGTCGAAAGCCACCCCATTGAGAGCGTAGAGAGAGTCCAGGATGTCTTCCCGGAGTTTGGGGCACACCAGAGGGCTCCGTGGGCCATACCATTCCCTGTGTGAACAGCGATCAACACCTTTGGCCTTTGGCCCTGGTGTTGTTGCCACCCCTGATCTCAGAGGATCCATTGCACACCATAATGTGATGGCTCCCTAGGCAGGGTGGTGGTCCTTGGGGAGCAGGAGGCCTAAGTACCATGATGATACCAGGCCTGGGTTTCTAACGTCCCTTCTGCTCGTTCTTCCTTGACTTTCATTTTAGTAGTCCTTGATATTAAACCCTCCTTTACTCTGGGAGTAAAGGGGGGTCTTTCACAAAGGAGGGACGGTGGGCTCAGATGTGTGAGTAGGAGCATGTCCCAAATGACCTACCTGGTGAGCTCGGGGTTCAGGAGGCAGAGCTGCAAGGACTCGGCCAGCTGCCCGTGGGCTAAGCAGAAGCGGATGAAGGCGCGACCTTTTCCCAGAGGGGTCTTCAGCTGCAAAGTGCCCAGGGGACAAGGTGGGGGTGGTGTCAGGACAGAGGCAACTCAGCCAGCCGAGGGAGAGAGGAGAGAGGAGATGGGAACAGGTGGTTAATGAGAAAGGGTGCCGTGGGACTTGAGGCTATGGGAGGAAAGGGGGCGGCTGGGGGGTGCTGAGAGCTAATGAGCGATGAGGACCAGGCGAGAGGGCCTGTGGTCAGTGGAGCTGGAATAGATGGGAAAGGGGCCTTGGGCAGGCCTGTGTCCCCCAGCCCCTGAGCCATCCCCGTCAAGGGCCTGGTGGCAGGGCCCCATCGTGCTGAGGCCAGCCCGCCTGCCCCTGGCCCCTGGATACCTTGTCCTGCGAGAGAACGAAGCGGGCTGGCTCCGTGTTTCCTCGGTGCTGCCACAGGGCAGAGCAAAGGAAATCCCAGTAATCCTTCCGAGGTCCCAGGAAGCTCTTCTGCTCTTTCTGGTCAAACTGGGAACAAGACGAGGGAAAGGATGTGTAGGAGTGCTCCCTCCGAGACCCCCCCTGCATTCCTCCACGCCGAGGGGGAAGGGCTCACGCAGACAGACCCGGCTTTGGGTGCTGGCTCTGTGACCAGAGGCAAGCTGCTCGATCTTTCTGAGCCTTTAGGGTTCTCACTAACTCCAGAAGAACTTAACGAGCACTTACTATGCGCCAGGCCCTTTTCTAAGCCATGGGGGTACAGCAACGAACAAACAGAACTTGTGGGCTTACACCTTGGTAGGGAAGACAGACGATGAACAAACTGAATAAGTAAGACATGTACTATGTTCCATAGTGCTGACTGCTAAGAAGAGAAGCAAAAAAAAAAAAAAGGGACTAGAAAGTGTATGGTGTGTACTCGCGTGTGTATGTGCGATGTGTGTGTGTTGGATGTGAGTGCACGATGTGTATGTGGTGCGTATGTGCGTTAAAAATTTAGATTAGGGCGGTTAGAGAAAGCCTCGCTGAGGAGGTATGACTCAAATCTACCATGCAAATTTCTGGGAAAGAGCATCCCAGGAAGAAAGAATAGCAAGTGCAAAGGGGCTGAGGTGGATGTGTTTCCTGAGATGCCTTAGAAGATCACAGGGACCAGTGTGAGTAGGGGGCAGCGGACGGAGGGCGTACTGCCAGGAGACTCACACATGCACACTATATACACATACCACACACACAAACCTCTCTCTCACACACGTACACACACACATAGAGAAGTTGGAAGGGTATGTGTGTGTATGTGGGGGGAGGTAGGCAGGTTATCAAACACCTCAGGGGGTTAGAATGAGAATTAAATCGGGTGGGCATGTAAAGGCTTATGATCAGGGCTCTAACCAGCATCAGGAAGGGCCAGCCCTGGGACATCTGTGCCTCTGAAACTTTAGTCTTCAGAGCAGGGTGGCTGCCCCCAGCCCCACCCTGCCCTGCCTCTCAGCCTTGCCCTACCTCACCTCCCAGGTTACAGTGACAGCCTCCAGGAGGGAGGTTAGATGTCAGGAAGGACTTGCCGACTAAGAAGGATAAGGCAGTGCGTGGTAGCGAAGGGAGGCCGTGGCTCTTCCCTCAGTATCTGAGAAAGCCCTCCTGGTTATCTGGGCCTGGAGAGGGGGGAAAGGGCGAGGGGAGGAAGGAGAGGGGAGGGGAGGGCCCCACATGCAGCAGCAGCTCCAGGCAGCCACAGAGTCTGTGCAGCTCAGCACTGGCGTCTGTCACTGACCGTCCGCCCCTGTAGCCCTGGACGATGGCAGAGACAGCAGCTGTGGGGAAGATGGCGGACATCAGACATCAGGGAGTGAGGGCTCTGAGGGAGACGCTCCCGAGACGTCTCACTTCTCCTTCAGTTCAGTTCCAGAAAATCTCGCAGGACATACTCACCTTTCAGGTCCCTGGTGACCTTGAGGGCAACCCCCTCTTCTGCCATGAGTATTTGAAAATGGCGTGATTCCCTGTGGCTCTGGAAGGCCAGCCCAGGAAGGAGCCTCTGAGTTCAGTTGCCCAATTCTCTTCATACACAAAGGAAGCATCAGAGCCTAGAGAAAGGATACAGCATCTTTAGGGTCACAGTGGGTTAACTGGTAGGATAAAAATCCCAGCTCTTTCTCGTAGGCCACTGCAGAAAGATGATGGTGTGGCCTCCATTTACGGAGCAGTTTCTGGGGGTCTGGCATCTTTGCCTCATTCAGTCTCCACAACAACCTTTGGGGATTGTTAACTCCATTTTACACGAGGTGAAAAGGGGGCTTGGATTGGGTAAGTCTTTTCTCCCACGTCACAAAGCTATGTGATGAAACTAGAATTTGAACTCAGGTCTGTGAGCCCATAGGGCCTGTGCTCTCGGCCCTGACTTGATGTGAGTGGTCCCGTTACTGCTCGTGCCCTGTGGATGCTGGGCTGATGGAATGTCACCGTCTTCCCCATGGGAGCCTTGCCAAAGCAGTCATCACCCTTGAGACACACATTCTCATCTTTTCCTGGGCCCCAGCTGAGCGGAAAGTGTGAGTTCTTCGAGGAGAGGGAGGCAGAAGTAGGGCAAGGCCCTAGAGCTGGGACTGAGCCTGAATGCTGGGACGCGTGGGCAGCAGGGCACCTGGCTTTCTTCCCGCCACTCTCGGTTGGCTGAATCTCAGCTTGTTCTCCTCGCAATGGGTCCTGGGGCTCAGAGAGGAATACTGTGGGCCCTGAGAGCCAGAGGGCTTATTCTGAGATCCTGGAGTAAGGACCCGGCATGGAGTGAAAATCCAGGTGTTCTGCCTCCCAGGCTGTGGCTGTGGGATTTTGGGAGTGGGCGGGTGGAGGGGGCAGCAGTGGGAAATGAGAGTGAGTGAGGGAGGGCGGGTGGGGTATGGCATTCAGTGAGTTGGGGGTCAAGGGGTCCGGGTCTCCATTCTGGTCCTGTAACTCACCGTGTGACCTTGGGCACATCTCTCACTTTTCTTGGGCCTCAGTTTCCCCATCCGTAGACCAAGAGTTTGGATGTAGGGTCTATGATGTCCCTTTTAGCCCGGACCGTCTATGAGATCCATGAACACCTACATGCAGCTCCGCCTGTCCCTCGTATCCATCCGGGTTCCTGGCCCCTTGCTCCTGGCACCATTTCCCTTCTCCAGCCTCCCCCAGACCCAGGAGTCTCCCTCTACTCACCTGGAAAGGCCTGGCTGGTTCGGGCGTGGAGAGAGGGCACTGCAGCCTGAACCCACCACTTGTGACTATGGGCTCTGCACAATCTTTCCAGAGTTTGCTGCCTGGGAGGTGACTCAGGCCGAGCCCAGCGCCTGGGGAGGGGGGTGAGGGGG